CCCCAAAACCCCAAAACCCCAAAACCCCAAAACCCCGAATTAAGGCTTTAAAATTGAATTTTCAGTGCGAATATGCCAACATAGGGAGGTAAGGCTAACTATTGATTACATCAAACATCGTATACTGATTCTTCTTCTTAGTTTTGCGGTTAACATGCTTTTTGAATTCGATTCCTGTATCAAGACCAATCGCAGTCCCTGTAAATTTTTCCTCAGCCCTTCTGTCTTTATATCTCATTGAACTACGTTTGGTTTTCCTTTTATTAGTATTCCCATTAAAACTTCCGTTATCTCCAAAATGTTTAGCTTTGAGCTAGAAAAATAGTTGGTATTTAATTCAGGCAAGGTGTTGAAGAGATTTGCAAAGATATTAGATAACTATTTTACCTTTTGAGAACTTCTGACGTTATTTTATTCTATAGATTAGCCAATTCATAATACTCTGAACTCATTGCACTACAAATGCTGATAACTTTGTTTCCCATTCCAAGAGAATTATCTAACTTCGTTTGATTAACACTTGATTGAGGGTGTTGGCTTTTAAACTGTCTGAGGGGAGGAGCATTAGTATTGTCCTCATCAAAGCTATCATCTTCTTCACTGCTAAGGTTCTCAGAAATTTCGTTAGTTAAATTATCACTAGATTTATCTTCCTGGTGTATTTTCTCACTCCTTTTAGGCCTATATCAGACTTAGCCAACCCTATACACCAGCTTGGTGGCTTCTAATTTAAAAATTTTGAATTCAAAGAAGCCTGAAATTTGACCTCGACATTTTCCCAATCTTTTCACTTTCGAGAATTTTGTTCGATCGTATAATATAGTCCAAAATTTGTAGCCAAAGATGAAAGGAGAGATTTTTAAAGATATTTAGATTAAACTGGATTTAGTTTAAACCTTTTTATTAAAATGGAATAGAACATACAGCATTAAGCTTCTCTTTAAACATCACTAAACTGCCCAAATGAAGTCATATTTTAGCACCAAAAGGTTGGGCCTCCCTTCTCACTAAGTGGTATCGTTACTAAAGTACAATCTAAGTCTCTAGCTTTGGCATAAAAATAGCTAAAGGTCCAAATTTTCATTAAGAAATTTTAGATTAAGACAAAGGTACTATTGCTTCGACGAAGAACTTAGAAGTTTATGCTACTGATCAATAATTTCTGAGGGAAATAATGATTGAACTTACACCATAGTGTTAATACGGTATTTTGAACTCTTGGAATTATCTTTATTGACATTTATTGCTATATTTTTAGTAAAGATGACAAAAATAGGAAAGGCAAATGGTATTAGATTAAAAATTGTAATTTGGGTGAAATTTACCAATATATTTAATTATAACTCATCAATTCGATATTTGCTTACCTCTTATCCCAGTGTGTTTCCTTTTCTTAACTCTTTTCTTCTTCTTTTTATTCTCTTCTTTCGGAGTCCTATACAAAAATTATACCTATTCCCACTTTTTATTCCAAATATCCTGTAAACCCCTTTAAATTTTCTTAAAAATCCACTCGTTCTTTTTACCAAATTCCAAACTTACTCTTGCACATAATGCTGGGGATCACCTTTCTTCAAGTTATTATCCTCGTTTCTCTTGGCAGCACATCAATTGTTTCCCATTTCTTAGTATAATTAATGAATTCAATTATTATGAAAGAACCAGGGGTTTTGGGGTTTTGGGGTTTTGGGGTTTTGGGGTTTTGGGG